TTTTTGAGTCCGAAAATTTGGGGTTTCCTTTTTTTCTCGAAGAATATAGTCTAAATCTGGGCGGTGAAATTGTGAAAAATTAAACTCGAAAAAATTGTAGGGAATTTTTTTGACATTAAGGCTTCAAAAATTGTACATGAACGGAACGGTCATCTAGAAATTTTTAGCCGTCCTCAAGTAATAGAAAATTCTAGGCAGTACCTGCTTCTCCGAACAGATATTTTACTGAAAACAATCGTTGGGTACCCCTGTGTCGTAGAAGGTGATTCTAACTTTTGAATCTGTGACCATTGAAAATGAACTTTTTCACTGTGGCAGTATTTTCTTATGGTGCTGCCTGTTGTTCCAATATCTTTATTTAAAATTTGGATCTTTTTACGCGGTGGACACTATGTGAAGTTAATTGGTTATGGTTAAGGCGAAGGGTCGTTGTGTTCTATGCACCAGTAGGCTATCAAGCACACTGGTGTCACATTATTTTCCTATTAGACAATTTGCCAACTTGGCAAAATTGTTCCTTTGTTGTTAATCACTTAATGTAGCATTTAACTAAAAGCTAGGGCAAAGAGGCCTTTCAGCTTTCATCACATCGTGCCGCAGACGAGGTAAGATTGTTTCACTCACATATTTAATGAATTTGTTTGTTTTAAACCAGAATTGTTCTGTCGTGCAAACACATTTTATAATCATGAGGCACCTCGTTCTCGCTATTAAAGTAAAACGGGCTTGAATATTAATTTGCATTGTAATTACCTAATTTGGACATAAGATTGAAACGTTAATCTGTAAAAAATGGAACTATAAAAATGATAAAGCAATAGATCTATAGGTATAAAATGTATGGTATACTAAAGATGTTTTCTTTTCTGACAGAGTCAATTCCGACACTGTACGGCGAGAACTAAGAGAAGTGCTTTTCAGGTGGCACCGTGTTTCAATAGTTGTAGCTTGTAACGATCGGGTATCGAAATTTTCTTCTTTTTAATCCTTCTTTTTTTATATAAGGATTCGGAATGTTCATCTACAAAAACGCCGGCCAGTTTTTATATTTACAAACGAGTCAGTTGCCAGGATAGGCGAGGGCAATAGGATCGAAGCTTGTTTAGGCAATAGATTTATCAAGTGTATTCGCGATCTTTCAGACTTTATCACATTGGTTCCATCTCGCTACATTTTTCACTGCGAATTTTCCTAGAGTTTTATTGTCAGCGACCGCATCCAAGTCTAAAGAGGGAAAGGAAAATTTGTCTTCGTTTGCGCACTTCCTCTATGTAGAAAGTCGAATTTGGGTGTTTCACGTCGTAATTGAGCTGGGACAGCAAAAAAATGTAAAAAAAAAATGTGATATGAGGGCCTGCAATTTTTTGCTCATTAAACCTACTGCGTTTTTGTCGTTGTCATTATATCTCTTTGAAGCCACTCGAGTCCAGACATTTTATCTCCAAAAACGGGTCTACCTGTTAAAAATTGCAACAGAAGGTTTTTAAACGTTTTTCGGTCCAGGATCATGTCTTCTACGACATGTCAAGTCTGCAAAAATTTGAGTTAATTTATAGTGCAGAATGTAAACGAAGTTGCACGCAGTGTTTGTCTTGTCGCGCGAGGTTTATGCCACGTACAACATGGGCTAGCAACGAAAGAGAGAATTCCTTGGCTGATATATCGTGCCAGGTTCTAATTACATACCAGTTACATGAAATAATCAATCAGTATACGATTCTCAGTTTTGTTGAAGCCTGCAGAAAACGTCCACTCTTTACAGATCGGAGTTGTTGTTCAGTTGCACCACAATTTCTTCTCGCCCTTCCTCCGGCATTGGCACCTTGCATCACTTCACGGATTTTGTTCATCAGGAAGTACAATGTACAATCAGAATGCTGCTCTTAGGCAGGGAACTTTTGTATCTACTTTTCATGACGAGTTTGTCCAGTACGCAGTCGACAAAGTTGGTTTCAACGTTAGGACTCTCCACGGGGTTGACACCTGCTTCTCCGATGTGGGCTTGATTGCAGTCGTCACACCTGGCATCAAAGAGAGATGAAAAGTCACTCCGGGAGAAAGAAATACTTCCTCGTGAGCCCCGACAGCTGAACATGAAAACAGAATATTGATACTTAGCTCTTGTGACCTGTAACGTCCTGTGTGAGATGTCTCTACTGTTTGGCACCCTGTAACGTCCTGTGTGAGATGTCTCTACTGTTTAGCACCCGGTACCCTTCTTGGAGTGGCATAATGCAATTTATTTTCTCAGAAAGGAAGGCATCATGGAATCTTCTCTGTTAAATTTCTTCCTATGATCGATCTGATTTTCTTCCTATGATCGATCTACAACTTATGGAGCATCTAATTAGAAATAATAAACTGGCAGCACATCAGAGAGGAAATAGAAAGTTTCACTCGACAGAAACAGCTCTGTTGTACGTTACGGATCAGTTGCTCCAGGCTATGGATAACAAGAACGTTTCCATCATGGTCTTATTAGATATGTCTAAAGCATTTGATATTATTCGACACGACATCTTGTTATCCAAGCTACAATATCTCGATTTTTCCCAGGGTGCGTTGCATTGGTTTCAGAGTTACCTTTCTAACCGACAACAGTGCGTTCGAATTGGTGACGCAGTTTCTAAAGTACTCCCACTTGAGTTCGCAGTTCCGCAAGGCTCTATTTTAGGTCCGGTTTTGTTTACAATCTATGTTAACGACCTCCTTTCTGTTCCTAAACGTTGTCTATCTGCCTCCTATGTTGATGACTGTAAATTGTATTTGTCCTTTTCACCTGCCGAGTTACCCACGTCCATCCTCGCCTTAAACGAAGATCTTACGAGAATATCTCAGTGGTGCTGTAAAAACTCTCTTTTGATTAATCCGGACAAAACTAAGGTTCTAGCTGTTGGATTACCACAACTTTTAAAGAAACAGTCATCATTCAGTATAACACTTTTTGACAAGGAAATAACACCTGTGCCTGTCGTTAAGGACTTGGGTGTTCTTCTCGACACACGCCTCAGTTATAACCAACATATCACTGAGACTGCCTCGAAATGCCTTCTTAAATTGTACCAAATTAACAGAATCAAGCATCTCCTGGATAGGAACACACTTTTGTTAGTAATAAATTCATTTGTCTTTAGTAAACTCCAATATTGTTCAACTGTCTGGAGTAATACCAGCAGCAGCAATATTGACAAGTTACAAAAAGTCCAAAACTTTGCTGGACGAATTATTCTGGGACTAAGAAAGTATGACCATATTTCGGATGGGTTGCGATCGTTGAAATGGCTTCCTATTAGAGAGAAACTCATTCTAAATGACGCTACTATGATGCACAAATGTATTAACAAGCTTGTTCCAGACTATCTTGCTGATATGTTTAAATCACGTTCTCAAGTCCATAATAGACAAACTCGATCATCTGGTGCTTTGGATATACCTTTATGTCGCCTGTCAACAGGGCAGCGCTCCTTTGCTTTCAGAGGAGCCAAACTCTGGAACTCCTTGAATGATAATATTAAGTCCTTAAAATGCCCCAGGAATTTTAGGCGTCATCTTGCAAATGTTTTATTAAGTTGATATATTTTTTGTAATTATAATATTATTGTACTTACATTCTTAATTAATTTATATAAATTTGTATTTTTTATTCTATTGAGCTGAAAAGCCCACTTAGGGAGCATGTATGTATGTATGTATCTGAATCCGGGCAATTTTTCATCCTGAATTCTGTACCTGAGCATGCTAAACAACACTGAATTGCAAATTCCATCGTCACGTTTGGTTAGTTATGAAAGCCTTCAACATAATACAGACGGAACTAGCTAACAGCGATTTGCGCGAAGCGAATCGGCAGAATCGGAGCCTCTTTCACGCGGAGATGAGCTTTCTCGAAAGTATTAGCCATCTGATGGAGGAGTCTGGTTTTCGAGGAATTTTGAAACTAACATATTTGTCTATTAAATGCTGTGGACCTCGTAAATCAACTGGGTCAAGCAGTGACCGGATGCAACAACACTTCTCGCCAGTATGGAGTTGGCAAGGCAACAGTCCTGTTGAAATTTGAGAATTTATCTTATTTAGAAAGCAAGCATATGTGTCTCGCTGTCATTGTTACACATGTTACATGTATTATGCTGTTTTAGCCATTTTCCTGGCAGGTGAAAAGGCACTAGTCTTTCTTTTCGGTGTTAAGCCAGTGATTGGTCTTGATGCTCTCAGGCATTGACAACACTTGTAGCGAAGACATCTCATAAACAGCCACAATAGCTTCCCAAACTGCAACAGCGACCTGACTTCACAGTCTGCACGTTTATTCACAAGTAAAGCAGTGGCGGGGAGAAGGTGAAAAAAAAGTCTATAGAGGGCTGGAAAGAAATTCAACGGTAATGAAAAATGGCCTGTCGCAGTGGATTTGCAGCTTTGTTCAGTCACTCTTTTTTAGTTAATCAGATGAAACTGTTCACCTATCTGCAGCACCATGACGTGCATCTGTCGCAAAAACAGTATGCAGTGTTATTCAGCCTATGCAAGGGGTCTTCCTGCACTATATCTGCTGATGCCCTAAACTACGATACTGACGAATTGGAACCGAAGTGTCCCATCATGGTAGAACCTAAAGGATAACTAAGTTAACGATTTTGGCGGATTTTGGGGGATTTTGGTTTTTTATATCATAGTATTAACGTTGTAATCTTAGTAACTAGGAAAATAAGTGACTCGATTTGTTCCAGTAATAAAAACGCTGAAACAGCAATTTGTGGCTTACAGCCTCTTTTCATGTCATGCTATTGGAAAAAGGGAATTCTGTTTTGGGTCCTATTTGGAAACTTTCCCATACTGGAATCTTTTGGAGACTTTTGGTATGTTAAAGAATAGGTTATTTCTAACTGGTTGAAGCTTCTGTTGCAATTAGTAAAAAGTCAGATTATACAAAATGCCTGGACTACTCGTGAAAATTCATCCGAAATTTGTACCTTTCGTAGATTCTTTCTGAAGCAATATAGTTTAATAATGTGACCCTTTTCTCGAACAGGTTGAACTAAGACAGGAAAACGATAATGAAGCAAATGCCATGTTTTGTGTTTTATGCGCTTTTCTTGACCCTTGGCGGCAAATCAGCAGGTAAGAAAAAGATTTCTTGAACCCTCTTATAGTTTCTCGAAGGCCTCCCAATAATTCGAACCAAATTAAAATTGACATCCCTTCCCCGAATGAAACACTGTTTATACCCAAAATTTTTCGAACTCCGGATAACTCGAACCGAGGACTAAATTCCCTTTTCTGAGTCAAACACTGTAGTCTTACCGCCAATTTTTCAAACCTCCCGATAATTCGAACTAATTTTTCTTCCCTGGGAAGTTCGAAAAATGGGGTTTTGAACTGTACTTGTCGCGTTATTTCTCATACGGTTCTTTGTTTCGCTTTAACTAACTCTTGTTTTCTCTTATTCTCAAAAGCTCAAGAGAAGAGGGCACTTCCTAACCCTTACAATTCCTTTGCTAGCGACTTGAACACCTGTCTTTTCAACGACTGGGCTGGTGTCTTGGAGACACCCGGTGCATGTAATGAAGAAGGTGATGTCCAACTCTGTTATGGGAAACACAATGGAAACAAGGCACTCTTCGCTGTCTGTTTCAATAAACTAACGCGTATTCCAAAATTTACTGCAAACGTTTATACAAAAGGTGGTACTGAGGGAGAGGAAAACATGATAGGGAATCAGGAATGTTACGAAGACGCATGGAAAATAGAAAGTGGATCAGGTAAAACTTTGCTGAAAGATTAAAATATTATCTTTACGCTCAGTGCAAGGTTGGTTGGATAGCCTGAGAAAAAAGCCGACATTTCGCGACGCCACCACTGATTGGCCCGCGAATTGCTTCATCCAATCAGAAGCAATACCCAGATTGGGAAGTGGCATGTCAACAGTATGAAACTTTTGCGCTCGTTTCTCTGAGGTCATTTCGCGGGGAATAAAAACCAGAGATGGAGTCGCGAAATGTCGACTGTTTTCTCAGCTGCTGATTGAACAGCTTTGAAGAGATGTTTTATTGCCCGATGAGAGTTCTTTCGATTCGAGGACAAGAACGAGTACGAGTCGAGATTTGATTTGAAGTTTTTCACTCACTCCGAACACACTCCAGTATTCTTAATTGTTCTGTTTTTTTCACCAGAAAAGTTGGCACTTTTGTCTTTATTGGTGGAGGTTAATCCCTCTTCCGATCGCAAAACGATAAAAATTCTAACATTTGATAACATGTTGGAGCGATTTTCGTATGACCTTGAAAAATGGTTTAGGTAAGTGTTCGTTATTTGTTTTATCAGCCAAGGGATGAAAAGATCAAAACATGGACTCTTCGTTTTCCCGCCAAAGGAAACCATACATGTAATATGGAGAAGGCATTATTCGATTTGCCAATCGTGTTGCAGTATGACTTCAAAGCGAAGTCTCGATTGATTTCTAGAAAGTTCTTCGAGCATGAAGGTTTTTCACCCGAGCGTTCGCTTAACCAAACAAAAGCCACGCGCGTTTGTATCCGTTCGATAAACCAATCAAATCGCTCTATTTCCGTTCTTTTTTGTTTCTGTTTTGTTTGCGTGTTTTCATTTTAAGGTCATACGAAAATCGCTCTACCTCCACTACGACATTCTCGCTAAAACTTGTTGTAGAATGACGACGGCTGTCACGTTTTCGCGCCCAAATGACGCTGGTTCACGCTTGCGCACTCCTTAGTATTGAGAAAATCTCTTACTCGTTGTCGTAATCGTCTTAGGGCCTGTTTACATGGAGTGTGGGACCCCGGTCTAGTGGGGCTGGTTTCTTTTGTTTACACGCACTTGGGGACACAAAACAAAAGAAACCTACCGTACAAGACCGGGGTCCCCCACTCCATGTAAACAGGGTCTTAGAATCTGAAGGCAACACAGTTTGATTGATTCAGGGTGACTGCCTTTATTTTGCGCGTCTAGATCGTGTTGGCGCATGCTTATCATGCCATCAGGATCGCTCGTTGTGTGCTCGTTTTTAATAAAATTAGACCATGACACATTGGCTAATGCCCCCTTTCACACCAAAGTTTAAACATGTTTAAACGCTGTTCAGTTAAACACCGTTTAAATTTGTTTTCTTTGTAAAAGCTGCGTACTGTGCTCTTATTGAAGGTATTAGAATTCATTTGAATTTTGTGCTAAAGCTTGCGTTTGAGTTTTCCGTTACTGATTTGTGCTCTTCAGTTTTAAACTTAGTTTAATTAAACCTGTTTAGTTGGTGTGAATGGGGCATTAAGTCGGGCTTAAATGCCTGTTCATTAAAATATTTGCAGGAGCGACAGCGAATGTATCTCTGACATTCCGGCTTTGGTCGGAATAGAAATTCGACGATACGCGTATAAAAAGTACCATAAAGTATTTCAATGCCAATATTCAAATACTTAACAAAAAAATACTTCATAATATAAATTAACGATTATTTTATAACATATATTCAAACAGTATTTGAAGGGTGGATTCCGGACGAATACATAAAAACCAAATGAGTCCCCAGTCCAAAGATGCGAAACAAACAAAAGAAAAAACAAAAATGAAAAGTTAGGACCGTAGAGGGGAAATTGTCATCAGGCAGCAATAAACACTAAAATTTTTTAGGTGAATTTTGCAGGCATACCATTACTTGAAAAAGGTGGGCCAGCTCAGTGCAATTTCAAGTTTCAATCCATGTCAATCCTTTCCATTCGTTGAACAGATGATAGGAAACAGTTTCAATGCTTAAATAGGTCTTGGATAAAAAAAATACTGTACGATTATTTTTGGAACTCAATTAATGCGAAGACAAGTTTTAGCTTTTTAAAAAGTGAGCAAATATCTTGACGTAGCCTCTTACATTAGCCTCCTCTTTAACAGCAATGTTGTAAATGGTAACTGATTCAAAAGATGTAAATGAACACCCACAACAGTCCGTACAAAACACAAAATCTAACAGCAATTGCTGTAACAACACTAAGGGCCGTAACTTCTAAGATATTAATGAAATCTTGAAGACCTGTACAACGATCTCTCTAAAAGGAACACGTTAATTTACTTAATAATCATTAATTATCATTGTTTGTTCGTAGGGTTTACCCCAGCCGATCAAGCAACAACCAATGATTACGACGATGAACGTCAAAAGGCTTTACTTGGTGCAGACAGGTTCAGTGGGATCGAAAATCGTTTTTTAGGGAAAGGTCATCTGACTCCTGACGGGGATTTCAAAAAAGATGAAAACTGTGAAAAGAGTTTTACATATATTTATACCAACGCTGCACCACAATGGCAGTTGTTTAATGCAGGGAACTGGGCGGCCCTTGAAGGGGCCATTAGAAGCTATGCTGACCGTCCAACTGTTCCACCAGTAAACACGAGAACTTTGTACATCTTCACAGGAACAGGCGGTGGGTTTGTAATTTTTAGGCAACGTTCACATGACACCGAACGAATTTTCCGGCGACCGGCTGAAAAACTGGACAGGTCACCAATTAGTTCACACGGAACTTTGAACAGCTAGGCGTCTAAATTTTCGAAGGGTTAAGGTGATTCCGTGTGAACAGAACTAACATAAATGCACGAATTTTCAACCTATCGAAAATTCGTCCGGAGCCTTGTCAACGTAGCCTGAAGAAAATGAACGCTCTTTTGCTTACGCGTTAAGACTATGTGACTGTTTGCACCTGCTTGGCTAGCTCTTGTTAAGGGCCTGATTACATGGCAAGCGCCGGACTGGCCCGATTTGCCGAGGCAACTTTTAGTCCCGAGAACGGGACTTCAGTTAACCGGGCTGGGTTCGTTGTCGTGTGATGTCAAAGTTGATTTTTATTGTGTTTAACTAACGTACCTCGATATTTTGGCAAAGTGAGCCAGCCCGGAAAATCGGATTAGCCCACGGGCTCATGATATTAGGCCTTCGACCAATTTCTGCTTTTCGGTTTGATCTGTTAATATTTCTTAAAATTACACCCGTTGATTTTTATCTCATTCCTTTGACAATAAGTTAAAAATGATTTTTTAAAAAAATTCGTTTCGTAGTTACATCTATGTTTAAGGTAATCATCTCTGATTTTCTTAAATGTATTTCAAAGTTACTTTTTTATGCTTTTAAGGTGGTGCAGCGCAATACAACGGAGCAAACATTGGCCGACTGAACAACAAAATCGAGGTCCCAAGATATTACTGGAAAGCCGTGTGTGATCCCCAGGCTCAGCAGTCTATTGTCTTTGTTGCTGAAAACACACCTGGTATTACAGACCCCACTGCAGTCAACGGTTGCCCACTTACTTATCACAAACAAGGCCAAACCTACAACAATAAACCACAACAGAGAAACATGGGCGTAATACAATGCTCCTCGGTAGATGATGCAAAACTCGCCCACCCCCTTTTTAAACTACCAACGTTCAATCCCGTTGTCTGCGGTCCGCAAAACGTGAGAGGCAATTTCCTTGACCAATACCTTGCAGATAAATTAAAATGAAGTGAGTAACAGTATAACAGAAAGCTTTTGCCTCCTATGTGTCGCAAGAATTAGAGAAAATAAAGAATAAATACTGATAATAAAACCTTATTTAAACTATAGCCTCTTGTAGTTACACAACTTTCTGCCAAAAGGTGTATAACAAACCTGGTTTCTTTCATGGGCAATATTGATTTGGGCTATCACTTCTCTCCACCGGAAAAGGGTGGGCGCTCGCCTCAGGAAGCACCAACCCTGTAGATAGGTAAAGCTAATAAGCGCCCAACCTCGAATAATAAACGCCCCCCCACTCCCGACACCCCAAACAAAAAGAATCAATAAAACTAAAACTGATGAGCATCAATAATCTCAGAATTCATTTGATGCGAATGTTGGAGTTTTCCTCAAAGTTTCAACTGCAATATCCATGTTGGCAAGAAACCGAACTCAAGTTTCTTAACTTTTTGGTAGTCAACGACTACATCTCCATCAAAGAACTAAATTAGGAACCTACTAAGCCTAAATTGTTCGTTCGAGCCTGAAAGGCTCGGCGGGAAGGTTTAAGCTGCTATCACTCCTAGACCATGCATGGTGAGATGATTTGTCATCACCGTGACTTTTGAGTCGGTGAACATGGTGAAAGATATCGTATGGTGGTGCCATTCAAATTAAAGAAGCTCTTTCACCATAGTTATCAAAGTTCAAAAAATAGCGGGAATCATACTAATTTGAGTGAAATATATACAGCTATTTCGAGAAAGGTTGTCGGAAAAAATGTGCACGCGACAATCCCGAAAGGTAACATTGGATGTGATGAATACACTGCTCCTGACACAGTAGCCGTCGAACCTACTTTTGTTGCTTTCCTTTAGCACTTGTAAACACGAGTGCGTGGCCTCTCGTACCATTCTTTCAAATTTCTTTGAACAACAGTGAACTCAAAACCACCCACAATACCTTTCAGGATTGTCGCGTGCACTTTTTCCGACAACCTTTCTCGAAATAGCTGTATATGTATACAGTCACTCGCTCTGAGTAAAACGGACATCTAGAGTTGGTCCCTGCCTTTCTTCACTCCCTTTATTTGACTTTCTATAAGACGGACATTTCTCTAAGACGGAGACTTAATGCCGGTCTTAAAGGTGACCGTTGGCTGTAAAGGGAGTAAAGAATGGCAGGCACCAACTCTGGGTGTCCTTTTTACAGAGGTGTCCGTTAAGAGTTAATCGACGCGACTGTATAAAAAAAAAACAAAAAAATAAAAGGTAAAAATAACACGGCAAATACAGAAGAAAGCACGAATGGATGAACTTGAAGATTAAAACAGATTGCAGTAGTGCAGTCAAACAAATTGAAGTTGTGTGGTGTTGTTTTGGTAACGTTTTTTTTAATATTTGGGAAACATGTTTCTTTGATACAAGGCTGTGATTCAGTGTCATTTTTTTGCATTTTACGTTACAAAGCGAATAAGGAAGTGTAATTGGCAATGTTAACGAACCAGCGGCCATGACCACACCCCTTCAATTACTAAGTACGCTCACAAGGGATCATTTAGCTTTCACGCAGCCTACAAGCAATTTCTTGGAGGGATGGGTGGGAAAAAAACCTTCCTCTACTACCCGCACCCGAAGTGCTTACTCGCAGCCGGCTGGATTTCAAGACGGTTTTGCAAATTGAAATTTTATTACACCCAGAGTTGGTCCCTGCCTTTCTTTTCTCCTTTTATTTTACTCTCTATAAGACGGACACCTCTGTAAAACGGACACCCAGAGTTAGTCCCTGCCTTTCTTTACTCCCTTTATTTGACTCTCTATAAGACGGAAACCCCTGTAAAATGGACACCCAGAGTTAGTCCCTGCCTTTCTTTACTCCCTTTATTTGACTCTCTATAAGACGGACACCTCTGTAAAACGGACACCCAGAGTTGGTCCCTGCCTTTCTTTACTCCCTTTATTTGACTCTCTATAAGACGGACACCTCTGTAAAACGGACACCTAGAGTTGGTCCCTGCCTTTCTTTACTCCCTTTATTTGACTCTCTATAAGACGGACACCTCTGTAAAACGGACACCTAGAGTTGGTTCCTGCCTTTCTTTACTCCCTTTATTTGACTCTCTATAAGACGGACACCTCTGTAAAACGGACACCCAGAGTTGGTCCCTGCCTTTCTTTACTCCCTTTATTTGACTCTCTATAAGACGGACACCTCTGTAAAACGGACACCCAGAGTTGGTCCCTGCCTTTCTTTACTCCCTTTATTTGACTCTCTAAAAGACGGACACCTCTATAAAACGAACACCCAGAGTTGGTCCCTGCCTTTATTTGACTGTAACAGTCCGGAATTTATTTGACTCTCTATAAGACGGACACCGCTTGTGTTTTCAACAAACAAATCAAAAAACGAACACCCAGAGTTGGTCCGGACGGAGGCGGCCTTTCTTTACTCCCTAGGTTTATTTGATTTCTCTATAAGACGGACACCTCTGTCGAAAACGGACACTCAGAGTTAGTCCCTGGCCTTTTCTTCGTCCCTTTATTTGACTCTCTAAAAGACGGACACCTCTGTAAAACGGACACCTAGAGTTAGTCCCTCTTGTTTTTTTTGTGTTCCCTTTATTTGACTCTCTATAACACTGGACACCTCTGTTTTAAAATGGACACCCAGATAGTTAGTCCCTGCAATTTCTTTACTCCCTTTATTTGACTCTCTATAAGACGGACACCTCTGATTAAAACGGACACCTAGAGTTGGTTCCTGCCTTTCTTTATCCCCCCTTTATTTGACGTGAATCTCCTAATAACACGGACTCCTCTGTAAACTTTTGGACACCCAGAGTTAGTTCCTGCCTTTCAAAAATTTCTACCCCTTTATTTCTGCCACCTCCACATTCAACATCTCTATAAGAGGAAAAAACCTTCAAAAAACGAACGAAAAACCCAGAGTTGGTCCCCGCCTTTCTTTACATCCGTTTATTTGAATAAACTCTCTATAAGACGGACACCTCTGTAAAACGGACACTTAAAAAAGTTGGTCCCTAAAAGCCTTTCCTGAGAACCCTTTATTTGACCGTCGTTGTTCTATAAGACGGACACCTCTGTAAAACGGACACTCAGAGTTGGTTCCTGCCTTTCTATACTCCCTTAATTTGACTCTCTATAAGACGGATACCTCTAAAACGAACACCTACGGATTTGGTCCCTGCCATTCTTCACCCCCTTTATTTGACTCTCTATAACACGGACACCTCTGTAAAAAGAACACCTAGAGTTGATCCCTGCTTTTCCTCCCTTTATTTGACTCTCTATAACACGGACACCTCTGTAAAAAGAACACCTGGAGTTGATCCCTGCCTTTCCTCCCTTTATTTGACTCTCTATAACACGGACACCTCTGTAAAACGAACACCCAGAGTTGATCCCTGCCTTTCTTCACTCCTTTTATTTAACTCTCTATACGGCGGACACTTGGTGTCGGTCTTAAAAGTGTCTGTCTTAGAGAGAGTTGACAGTATACGGAGTAGCAGGGCCAATTCAGCGCAATGAAAGACCCTGTGATCGAGTTTGAATCCAGTGGGATGCAGAGTGAAGTATATCATATCAACGCGTAATACATACTGTTGTAATATTGTAGTTTGAATACCTGCACTAAAAATTCTTGGTGCTGTACAACTTAAAACGGTGCTGTACGACTTAAAAACGTAAAATAACAATAAGTGAAACGATATACAAACATAGCTATGATGCAAATTCAGTAATGCAGCCTTCAGGTCGCACACTGTACCAACTAGAAGCAGCAAATAATATTTACCCTATTATAGGAAATAAATAACGCTCCATGAAATAAAGGTATTGGAAAAACAAACAATTTAAAATGAAGGACATTATAGCGAGGCTCACAAAAGAAACCAAAACTTTTTGTGCCAACAGAAACAATTGCTTAAACGTTTTCTGAAATGGAAACTTTCCCTTCACGTACGAAGGGGGTCAAGCAAAGAAATCTGGCCACTTGGAGTGTTCCTCAAAGTTTCATTTTTACTAGCGGACCTCCGCGCTGGAAATTAAGGTCGCAGAATTTAACGCTCCACTTAATTAACGGCGCGCAAATAAACGTTTCGAGAAATTAACGCAACTTAAATGATAAGTGAATTTTTGAAAACCGCCTTAATTTCTTATAGAGTGTTTTCACTCATGTGGCTGGCATCTATGCAAATTTACTGAAACAAAAGAAAGCGTTTGCATAAGAAAAGAGTTCAGTTCCCAGAGGATTCGTTTGGGACACCAACATGGCTGCCGTTTCATTGTTTTGGGACACCAATATGGCCGCCGTGACGTCATGTGAAAACACTCTATAATATGAACTGCGACCAGCTTCAAGTAAAAATAAGATCCCCTTTTTCTTTCGTAAGATCGTGAAGATCAAGCGCTTAAAGTTTAAGGTGATGTTAGAAGGGACGATGGTAACAACGATCCTTAGCGCAACACAGCATTACAGTATTGTTGCGACATTAGGGAGATTAAGATTCACATTTACGTCAAACGGGAAACGTGAATTTGTACCACATGACCAAGTTTTTTTCTTACTTGTCGTTTACTGTTTATTACTTCTGCTCAAAAATAAGTATTTTCACGCCAGCTTTATCCATAAGAATTGCTCTGGACAGTTTTTATTCTCTTATTTTCTATTTTGAGAAATTCTCAACTTGAATCCGACGTTAGCGGTTTGCCGTAAACGTGAATCTTAATCTCTCTATTAGGGAGCTTAAGCAACGACGACGGCGACGGCAACGAGAACGGCAAAAAAGCAAAAGGTTTAGATCGCCAAAACAACAACTTTGCACGTGCAGCACGTTTTTTTTGTACATTTCTTAGCCGTCGTTGCACTACTACAACGTGAAAGTGCCTCCTAAATTCACGTTTTGTCGAGGACGGGAAGACAAGACAACAACTTTCTTTTTCTTTTCCTTAACTTTGATACAGTCCTTTAGAATTCAACTCCAAAAACATTTGCCAACATTTGACGAA